CGCTCACAAAAGCTTCTCACCTCTGGCCAACTCCAGAAGGTAGGACTTGAGAGCCCTTCCTGAGAACCATCCACCAGATCCTCAGCACTCAAGACCGTTTTGCCGTTCTGAGAGAAATCCTTCCCTATGAGTTCAGGGTCCCCAGGGCTTTCCATGCCAAAGAAGACAGAACTTCCATTGATGACTTCAGCAGTTCCACACCTTGAATGCACCGCCACGTCATATAGGAAAAGCATCTTCAGAAGTAAAACACCATCCTTTTGAGCTAATTCTTGATGTGGCCAAGGAAGACTCTTTAATCCCAACCGTTCAGGCCCACAGCGCCGGCGTAATACAGGTGGACCACCGTCTTCACCTCTCAACCTTGACACTGTCCTGCATGGAGGTCCTCCAACCACAGCAACCACCTTTCCTTCAGCCGCCAGATGCAGAAGATACTTCCAGACGCTCGAATTATGTAGGTCACCGCCTTTTGTCAAATCCAGCTCCAGTACCTCCACATCCCGACTGGGAAAATGCCATTTTTGTTTCCCCGAAAATAGGTGTACCACCACCCTTTTTGCTCGTGCCAGCCGTCTCCTTTTATGACGGTTGAAAGGCAACGCCGCAATATCTCCACGTGGCAACAGCTCCATCAGCATATTTTCTGGTATATCCCCATAATACCACCGAAGAAATCGCCAGCATGCCTGGACGAACTCCTCCTCATTCGCTGACGCTGTCCGCGCTGCGCTTTGCAACGACGTTTTACAGCCACCTCGTTGTCCGTATTCGGACACCCTTGAACCATACGTGCCACCTTCAAAGCTTGCTTTGGGGAGCACCAATCCATTTCATCAATGATCTGAAGCGCCACCTCCTTTTCTAAACAAGGGCACCCATTCAGATCACGAACGCGAAGTTCCCCCAGAACAGGATGTGAGGCTGTGCACTTGCCACCACGCCACTGAACTCTGAGACCAACCAAGGCGCTCGCTTTGCCAATTGGCACTAGTGGATCTACCATTTCAGGAGTTACCAGGGTCCCACCTGGGGTAATACACATCTCCCGAGATCCAACAGCTAAAGACACCAACACCTTTTGCTGCGGAAGCTGTTCTCCAGGACGAAGTGATCTGAGAGGATGTGATGCTCCCGAGTCCAACATGCCCATTCCCGAACACTCATTGGTGTCAGAAACCCTGGCCACATGTAGAACGCATACTCCTCGGCCTTCTCCCTGCTTCGGCAACAACGTGGCATCCGACGAACCGACTCCACAGTCCGCCCTTCCATTCCTCCATTGAGAATGGGACCAAGATACACGCTGCCCTTCAGCATGCAAAACCATTTTTTCAGCTGTTTTGTAATCCATAACCAAACAGCCATGTTCAAACCACAAGAGCTGGTCCAGCGAAGATTTTGCCCCCACGTGACACATCCCATTGATCACAGTGAGGTTCGCCCCAAACTCCAAAATCAACCAGAGAGGGATAATCAGGGGCCCATTGTCTTCCCTAATCAACGTCCCTTTCTCTGTAATCCTCATTGTCACACCACCAAGCGCGCTTTGCACCATAACAGTAGTGTCTGGTAAACATTCCCATGGAAAAAGCGTCCGCGCAAGATGCGTAGCAGCTGTATCCACCAACGCCACTCTCCCTTCCTGCTGAAGCAGCCCAGAGCCACATAACATTCGAATACTGGGATCCCCGTTTGATGCCGACTGTTCTGATGACAGCTTCATAGATTTCAGCACCTCTAACGCTTCAACAAGGACCTGATTGGCCGTTGATGGCGATGAGGGACTTGCAGAACCTTTATCCAATCCCGCATTAGCCGTCTCATCTCCCCCTTCAGCTACCTCTGCCTTTTTGGCATTTCCCCATTTCGCACCTTTGCCGCCCTTTCCCCCTTTGGGAGAATTCCCTTTAGATCTACTCCTCTCAGGATTTGAGTCCACATTGGAACTTGCACCATCCTTATATGGACATTGCGGCTGCAGATGGCCAACGGCCCCACACTCAAAACATCTTCCTCGCTCAAGGGAGTCTTTGTCATGGCGAAATTTGCAGCGGGATCCGAACTTGCAACCTGCATCGGTCTTCCCATATATCCAACAGAAAGGACGTTCACCATCTCCGCTGTACCTTTTTCCTTTCCCTTTGCCTTTGTCACCCTCCTCTGTCTCGTCACCAGCTCCTTTTTGGGCCTTGTTTAACCTGGCCCTTTTCTTGGCGTCCGAGTCCTGCTTCACCTCTTGTTCACCAGCACTATGCAATAGCAGTTCAAACTCTGCCTGTAACATTTCAGCTAGTTTTGTCGCAGTTTCAGAGGTCGGCGAGTAGTCCACCCCCAATTTCTCCCGAAAGGATGCCACTCTGAAATGAACCGTAGGGTGTTTCGCCAGCAACGCGGATGACAAACCATCCAATCCCTTGATAAGCAAGGTAGCGTCCGGCTCAGCCGCTCTCAACTCCCTCAATCGGAAACGCCATTGCGCCCATTGACGCACTCCCTTTATGGCCTCTGAGATCGAGGTTGCTGGAGATGGTTGCACCAAGAAGTTCAACATTGTGCTGCGCTCATTTGCTCCACCTGGTTGGTAGACCGTCAGCAATTTGTAAAATATCATCACTGACCCCAACATTCGAGTGGAAACGATCTCGGTCTTCAATCTCTCCGGGATCGCCTGTAGCAGCAAAGACACCGCTCTCTGCTCCAACAAAACATGCACAGTTTGAATCACTTTGAGCCCTTCCAGCTCAGCCTTGATGCCCAACCTTTCCAGCGGAGAAACACTCAACCATTTGGCATACGCTTGATATGCCTTTGAGTAGACGCATTTCCACCACACTCTTCCTGTATCTGTCAGTGAAGACAACATTGGTTCGATCATTGCGATCCAATCACCCAGTGCCGTCGGATTGCTTGGTGTGTAGTCTGCCAAAGTTGGAAGGCTCATCACATGCTTCCCGAGAGCCTCCGGACGTTCGGTTCCAGAACTATCACCAGTGATTGGCATACCACGTGGCACCACTGCTCCAGGAGGTAAACTGACCTTACCACCAGGCCCTTGAGGTAGTCCATGTCCTATACCGGGCGCAACAGCTGTGAGCGGAACCTTTTCTAATTCCAACTTCCCAGCGACCATTTTCCACCGATACGGAACATCATCCACCATTGTATATCCACCCGATCCTGCTGAGTTCTCTTGCGTTGCAGTTTCCCGAGCTGAAACAAAACCGGGCTCGTTCCCCACAGGTGCGGCAGAACCATCAACACCTGACGGCACGGAAGTAATCGGAACATGTGTTAAACCAGGTGGTCCACTTGCATATCCACCACTCGCAGGACCTCCCGTGGGGTAATTCAATGGAGGCAATCTGGAGGGTTTCTTCCCTTCAGCTACATGCATCATTGGCACTTCTTTTTCATCCTCCACTTGAACATCCCCCTTCCTGGACCCAGGCAAGGATTGAAGATCACAACCCTTTGGCAGGTCGTAGCCCTCAATAGGCAGCCATGTCCCATCAGGCAACACAGTCCAAAAACCACCCATACCATCCGTGTAGAAAACTTGTCCTGGCAGGTACTGCTTCTCTGGAGTCATTCCTAGAGGATATGCCGTGTTTGCGTCCACCACTCCAGAGCTCCGTGCCCTTGAAGCTGACCCAGATGCAGCAGAGGTATAGCTTTTTTCCTCCACCCGATGCAACCTGTTCCCCAGCTCCTTTGTCTGCACAAGCAACTCTTTCAGCGCACGCTTCACCACCGCCATATCTTCAGATTGCTCTTCACCACTAACATCAGGAATGAGTTCTTCGTCGGCTTGCACTCCACCAATAGTACCTCGTTCCATTTGTCCCATTAAGCCTGACGATGGTCTCTCAACAGGTGCAGGTTCCTGACCCAAAAGATCTTGCAGCGAAGGCGGTCTTCTCGTACCTTCACCACTCCTATCCCCTCCGCTCGCGGGAAGACTTGCCGGCCTTGACTGCCTAAGTCTCATTTCTTCTTGAGCCCGCTCGCTCCAGAAAGGATTTGCTGCTTGAACCGGAACCACTTCGTTTTCCACCTGAGGCGTTGGTTGTATCATTGCAACCCTCCCTGTACCATTTGTTGTCGATCTTCACCCCCATCACCACGATTTCCTTCGGCTTCATTGGCCGTTGGCGACAGTCCAGGCTCAGAGCGACGCCGCATCATGTCCATGGCGTTAAACAAACGAAAAATCTTTACCAATTCCGCAGGAAGCCTAATTTGGGCTCATAACCTACGGGGGGCAACCGAAGGAGGACAGGGAACAAAACAGTCAGCCCCAACAGAAGCCCTTGATTCCCCTGGAACAACCGAAGACAAAACCCAAAGCACAACCAAACACACCTTTTCCGTAGGGCGCATTGCCCACGTTTCTTGAGCCAAAAATATCCGGGTTCATTGACCCCTTCAACTCTCATCACCAACTCTTTTCTACAATACCAGTTGCAGCTCCGCATAGGGTTTAGACCCAAGAGTAGAAAAAAGGGAGCCCTGGTTGGTTTAAACGGGGGCTTCGAAGGGAACCTAAGCCCTAAGAAAGGGGGAACAAGGGCCTACTCTGGGTCCTAGGGTACTTGGGCAGGGCAATTTTTGGCGGTTCTTCAGGGTCGAAGGAATCGTAGGAGATCTTCTGCCATGCCGTGAACGTGTGAGATGTTTGGCTTGCGCGTACACATGAAGGAAGCGCCGGCAATCTTCGATTCGATTCCTTAGATTGCCTACCTATGGGGCTATGGCTGTGGGGCGCTTCTTGCGATCCCGAGCACAGCAAAACCGCAGACTCCAGGCTGTAAGACTCTGCCCCCCCCCCCCCCCCCAAAACCCTTAGTGAAGCTCTGAGCCCAACCAACCGCCCCAACATGAGGAACACCGGAAGCGAGCAGACAGCAGGGTCAGTCGGACTGCGCCGGATTTGGGTAGGAGCTGTGTGCCCGAAGGTTAACCTACTTCACCTACCTTCAGTGATCGATGAGAAGGGTCTAGAACCTTGCAGTTCGCTCTTCCCACACACCCTCCCTCTTGGCCGTGCCTTGCGATTGTAGTAGTCCTGATCTGATGTTTGCTGGGGGGAGATGGAATCCGGGCATGTGCACAGAAACCTCGTATCACGTAAGGCCTGTGACGCCCGCAGCTTTCTGTGTTTGTGTAAGTCCAACCCCCGAAGCACCCAAGCTCGAAATAAACAAAAACTTGAAGTTTCCTCCGGCGACGTCCCTACATACCCAGGTAGCCCCCCAAATAATCCCTAAGGTCCATTATAAGGGTCCCTCCTTGAGTCCCTGAACCAGCAAAAGCCAGAGTTCTCCAGCCTGGAATTGCCCCCGAAGGCCTCGAATCTTGCAGGGATCCCTAAACCTCCAAACCCTGAAGCCCTCAAACCCTTTTCCTTAGACTCCTGCGCCCACCTTAAACCCTAAACCCTAAACCCGAAACCCGAACCCCCAAACCCGAAACCCTAAACCCTAACGCTCTCGGGTCCTGGTCCAACCAGGTGGGCCGGTCCATGCCCTTCACGCGAAGGGCCCGCTCCGCCTGCAGGAGGCCTCGGCTTGGGAGGAAGGGCGCTAAGAGGTTTGGGGGGGTTTAGGGTTTAGGGGTTTAGGGTTTAGGGCTTAGGGTTTAGGGTTTAGGGTTGAGGGTTTAGGGTTGAGGGTTTATGGTGGGAGCGTTAGGGGGTGCTTTAGGATTTGGGGGCTGAGCATCTGTCGGATTTTGGCCTTTTTTGGGAGTTTTTGGTACCCGAAGGACACCAACCCCGAAGTGCTCCTATAAGTCTCCCTGGGTTTAGGGTTGAGGGTTCAGGGTTCAGGGTTTCACGAAGTACTCCAAACCTCCAACCAAACGAAACATTCAAGTGCGGACCACGTCGCTCTCCTCGGCCCAGTCGCCGAACATGGTCTCCGTCGTCTGGGCCACCCAGTCCTGTCTGTAGGGTTTAGGGTTTAGGTTCTTTTTTCTCCCTCCCTTCACTCCTTTTCGGGACTGCTAGGGTTTAGGGTTTAGGGTTTAGGGTCTGTAGGTCATGTCTGAGGGTTTAAGGCAGTCCTTGCTTTACTTTTAGACCCTTTTAGAGGGTTTGGGTTGAAGATCCTCCTGAAGAGAGCTCACCGGTGTAAGAGAAAACACAAAGCCCCTACTAGCCGTGCATCCTTAGAGGGGGTACGAGTCTTGCATCCTGAGACCTCTGGGGGCTTCGATGAACGAGCCCAATGGCCCTAAGCCCTACACGTCCTCAAAGGGTCTCCAGGGTTCAAGGTCCAATGCGGGTTTTAGGGTTTGAGTCTGGCGTGACCCCCAAACCCCAGACCCCAAATTCCAAAAGCCCCCAAAAGCCGCAGAAGCCCTCTGAACCCTGAAAACCTTATAAACACAAAGAGCCCCAGGCCTCACATCGTGGTCATGTCCCAACAGCCCATAAACCCTGCCCCCTACGAACCCCCAAAAGCCCCACAAGCCCCTCATCCCCTCCAAAGTCCCAATATCCCTGTAGAAACCCCTACGTGCTCAGCTCAAGGCATTGTTGGCCAGCGAGATGTCCGTGCGGTTCGGGATGGGGAACCTTCGGACGCCCTAAGACCCCAAGGGTTTGAGGGTTGAGTTTCAAAACGTTAGAATGGCATCGGGGTTTATAGGGGCTTAGAGGGGCTTAGACTCCACTTCCCAAAGCCAGCCCCTGAGTCTTTGCATAAAAAGCCCTCCCAACCTCCCAGGCAGGTTGAGGCCGCCGCATCAGGGAGTCCCGGTACTCCTTCTCGGTGAGGCCGGCAACGCCTGAGTTGAGGGAGTTGGGTTTTGCTAACAAACGCCTTCTGCAAGGCTTCGGGTGAGGATGATTAAGAAGGTGAGAAGAGCTTAGAGCTCCTCAACCCCTCCTGAACTGTCTCAACCCGAAAATCCCCAAACTGCTCTCAACTCCCTCAAAATCCCAAACTCCCTAAGTGTACGGATTCTATAGGGTACCTCATTCCCTCATTCCTGACTAAGAACCCTCTAAACCCTAAACCCCAAACCCTAAACCCCAAACCCTAAACCCTAAACCCTAAACCCTGAAAAACCCTAAACCCCAAACCCTCCCGAAAGCCCCGAAGCCATCCTCTGCTTTAGGGCTTCGGCCGCAGGCTTTCTCCAGTGGGTCGGGGCCTCCGGGATTCGAGGCATCCGTGCTGTAGTAGACCTCCAAAGCGGAGGGAAGGGGGGGTTTAGGGTTAAGGGTTTAGGGTTTAGGGTGATTCTTTAGGAATACCAAGAGGCTCCACAAAATACCCCATACCATCATCCCTTCCTAGCCAACAGCAGGTCAAAGGATGCTTCCCCTTAGGGTCTTTGGCCTTCTGCCTCCACGCCCCTTGCTTGCTTTGCCCATGGTGCCCTGCATCGTGAGGTTCCCAAACTTCCCCCTAAACCCTAAACCCTAAACCCTAAACCCTAAACCCTAAACACTGGAGAGATCGATTGGCGAATTTCCAAGCCCAGTCCTGGACCCCCCGGATCCACTCCGAGCCTCGACGACCCTAGAACCCGAAAGCCTGAGGGTGGTTTAGGGTTAGGGAGAACAGAAACACCTCCCCCCCAAACCCCCACCCCCCCCACCCCCCCCCCCCCCCCCCCCACCCCCCCCCCCCTCCCACCCCCCCCCCTCCCACCCCCCCACCCCCCCCCCACCCCCCCCCCCCACCCCCCCCCCACCCCCCCCCCACCCCCCCCCACCCCCCCCCCCCCCCCCCCCCAACCCCCCCCCCCCCACCCCCCCCCCCCCCCCCCCCCCCCCCCCCCCCCCCCCCAAAAAAAAAAAAAAAAATCGAAAAAAAACAGAAGCAAACAAGAAACATGTGTTGGCCTTCGTGGGTGCGGTGTAGCCCGAGCCGGTGCGATCCCAAACGCCCACGACCAACAGGGATGGAGGCTCCTGGAAGGGACCGGATGGTGTAGGGTTTAGGGTTTAGGGTTTAGGGTTTAGGGTTTAGGGTTTAGGGTTTAGGGTGTAGGGTATAGGTGCGTTAGGGGCGTTAGGGTTTAAGGTTTGAGGTTTAAGGTTTAGGGTTTAGGGGATTGCTTTAGGGGCTCCAGGGGTTTTGGGGCTCTCGGACTCTGTTGAGTTTTAGGGCTTTAGGGGCGAAAAAGTGCTCGACACACGGGACTATGCATGGCCGATCACGCGACGGCGCCGGCTCTGCCCTGGTTTGGGGCTTAAACCCGAAACCCGAAACCCCTAAAACCTAAACCCTAAACCCTAAACCCGAAACTCCAAACCCTAAACCTTGAATCCGAAACCCGAAACCCAATATTCTCCCTCGACCGCCTGGGGCTGGGTGGCGTTCTTCTTCTGGAAGAGCTTCTTCGTCGCCTGCAAACAAAATGGAAGCTAAGGAATTATAGGGGCCAGAAGGGATTCTCGGGGCCTTAAGGGGGACCTTAGATTATAGAGGCATGAAGGGAGGGGGTTCATGGGGGGTTTTGGTGCAGGGATTAGGATTGCCAGACCTCCGAGATGTGCGATGTAAACGGGAATCCCTAAACAGGGAACCCCAAGAATATAGTTAGTAGGAACATCATCGGAATATACCTACCAGGTCCATATACTCTCTCTGTACTCCTACTACACTATTCTTGGGGTTCCGATTAGGATCCGTTTATTGTCAGGGCCAGAGCTTTTCTACCAAATTATGGGCAATCCTAAATCCTAAACCCTCTTCAAGCCTGCGGCGTGGGCCACAAAAACCCAAGCAAACGGGCTCCTCTCAAGCCTCCCAAGCTTAGTATATCATGGTGCCTTCGCATGCTGCTGGGCATATACTCCTCTTCGTAGCTTCGGGGATACTTTTAAGCTTCGGGGATACTTTTAAAAACTATCTTGCGGTGCTCTAAGCTCCCAAACCCCTGAACTCAACAAAGCCGCAGCAGTGACGCCACCAGGATCTTGGGGCCTAGGGGAGATACGAAACACCCATCCTCGACCTAAACCCTAAACCCTAAACCCTAAACCCTAAACCCTAAACCCTAAACCCTAAACCCTAAACCAGATGCCATAGGATCTCCGAACAGACAGGCAGACACAGGCAGACATTGAGAGCCTGGAGTCGTCAGGGCACCCGGAAGCCAGACCCAAAACTCACAAGAGAATTCGGTACCCTTGGTTTAGGGTTTAGGGTTTAGGGTTTAGGGCATATACGGGAACCCAAGCCCTAAAGAAAGGGGGCAAGAAGGGCCCGCACACGCCACTCACAATGGAAGCCACAGTTGAAGCCGTGGAAGAGCAACGGAAGAAAAAAAAAGCCCTCTGCTTGAAGGTTCAGGGTACTTCTTTCTTAACACATTTTTATATCTGCTCTTCTAACCCACTTGCAAGAGCCCCTTAAGTGCCCTAAGACGGCTATAACCCGACCAAGCACGGGCTCCCCGTGCCTCCATCACGGCTGCATGCAGCCTTGGACGCATCTCTTGACCCATGGTTTAGGGTTTAGGGTTTAGGGTTTAGGGCTTAGCCGTGGGCGGAACCCTCATCCTTCCAAAGCCGTGGTAAAGAGGGGGAAGGCAACACCACCAAGCCCAAGAGAGCTGGAGTGGCGCAGCACAAACCACAGTGCCTCGGGTTTAGGGTTTAGGGTTTAGGGTTTAGGGTTTAGGGTTTAGATGTACCTCAGACCCTTAAGGTTGATCCTTTGCGTTTAGGGGACCCTTTTTGAGGATCCTCAAGGTAGTATAAGGGCCATGTTATATATTGGGAGTATATTAAGGGGAACCTTTAGGGAATACAACCTGAGGGGTACGACCTCGTGGCTACCAAACGGAACCCTAAACCCTGAACTCTAACCCTAAACCCTTGTCTTGCACAAAACGCTGGCAACTTAGAACCCTACGCCGTCAAACATCCAGCCAAGGGCAATAAACCCTAAACCCTACACCCTAAACCCTGAACCCTAAACCCAACAGCAACCCTCCCCCTCTCCCCTCCGGCCTCGGAAGCTTGCCAGTGCTGTCCTGGCCGAAACAGCAACGGTTCAGGGCTTAGAATTTGGGGTTTTAGGGATAGCCGCACTAGGGCGGGTGCTACGCTTACCTGAGCTACCCCCCACCCAAAACAAGGCCCAAACGAGTCGGTTAGTCTGGGTAGGGCAGTCTGGGTAGGGCAGAACCCTCTGCCCTGCTACGGTTAGCCTTGTGGAAGCTTCGGGCTTTTGTTGGGGTCCGAGGGGTTTGGGGCTAGCAGATCCCCAAAACCTTAAAACCCTGAAGCCTGCAAAAAACCTCTAAAAAACACTAAACACCCTAAAAGCCCCAAACCTAAAACACTGAAACCCTATAACCTGAAAGCCCGAAAACGCCGTAAACCCTACACCCTAATGGTTGCGAGGATTTTCGCAACCCTAAACCCTAAAAACCCCGTAACCCCAAGCCCTACGGTAAACTCCAGCAAGTTGGAACATGGTTCAAGGATGATTAGAGCCGGGATTCCCTTTAGTATACCTTGTGGGGATAGGGATGCTCCAACTTTGTGGAGTGTACTGTACCCTAAACCCCAAACCCCAAACCCTAAACCCTAAACCCTAACCCTAAACCCTAAACCCTAAACCCTAAACCCTAAACCCTCAACCCTAAACCCTAAAAGCCCTTGAAGCCCTACACCCTATCGGTGCAACGGGGCTTCTGTTTGTTTCCGCCTTGTCCGGCGTCAGCGTGCCCAGGGGCTCGTAGGTGCTTGGCCGGAGAGATTCGAAGAAGTCCTGGAAAGAAGGTTTAGGGTTTAGGGTTTAGGGTTTGAGTAGGGTTTAGGGTTTAGGGTTTAGGGTTTAGGGTTTAGGGTTCAGGGTTCAGGGTTCAGGGTTAACGGTTTAGGGTTTGAGGCGGCGGATATTTCAGGCTCTGTTTCAGCAGCATTTTTTTGGAGCTTCCTTGAGTTTTTCCTTGAAGATTCTTCCTTCAGCTTCACAGCTCAGTTGTTGCAGGTTCGCAATCGCGGGCAACCCACCTTGCAGGAGCTGGGGGCCCGAAAAACTCCGCAAGAAGGCACCATCCGGGAAAAGATCGCACCGAGCCCCACCAGGAAAAGCCCTAAACCCTAAACCCTAAACCCTAAACCCTAAACCCTAAACCCTAAACCCTAAACCCTAAACCCTAAAGCTACAGACCTAGAAATCACACAAAGGCCGCCACCTCGTCATTCACGGTGGAGTAGTAGACCTGCCGGCCAGGGAGGCGAAGTCTAAGCCCTCTGAGCCTTACGGCTAAACCCCAAAAACCCTAGAACCCCCAATCCCTAAACCCTAGAACCCCTAAACCCTAAACCCTAAACCCCAAAACCTTAGAACCCCAAAACCCTAAACCCTAAACCCTAAACCCTATTTCCTAAACGCTAAGGCCTGAGCCCCAAACCCCAAGCCCTAAACCCTAACCCCCCCCCCCCCAAAAAAAAAAAAAAAAAAAAAGAACCTCAAGTTGGAAGTCGGCGCCTCGAGGAATCCCCGGCAGTTGACACCGGGCTTATCGCAGCGAACCGGTCCTCCGGCCACGGCTTGCGGATGCTTCGGGGTCTGCCTTTGTTTGTTTGTGTTTTTGGGTGGGGGGGGGGGGTTCTTTAGGGTGCTGTTCAAGTTCTTCGGGGGTTTCAAGGGACGCTGGGATGATCTTGGTAATGGCCTAGGCTTCTGTGTTGCGCACTCCTAGTTCACAGACGTCTGGCCTGTCTACCCTAAACCCTAAACCCTAAACCCTAAACCCTAAACCCTAAACCCCCAAACCCTCCAATGCTACGCAGCTTTCTGGGGCACGGAGGAGCCAACAACCGAGCTGCAGAAGGAAACTGGGCAGCGCAGTCCGTCGTTGAAGTGGATGCCGATGGGAATGTGCTCGCTCGTGTTGACCTCAGAGCTTCTGGGCTGAAGGTGTAGGGTTTAGGGTTTAGGGTTTAGGGTTTAGGGTTTAGGGTTTAGGGTTTAGGGTTTCGGGTTTAGGGTTTGGGGTTTAGGGCTTTCCGGGCTGACGTGGGTGCATCTTGGGAGGTGTCCGGGCTGAGGGTGCAGGACTTTGAGCCCATAAACTCCTTGAACCCCTGGATCCCTGAACATGCCTAAACCCTAAACCCTAAACCCTAAACCCTAAACCCTAAACCCTAAACCCTAAACCCCCTGAATTCCCTAAACCCCTGCTCCCCTCCGAACCTCTAGCCCTGAGCCCCAAAAGATTAAATAAACTGCGCCGGGCTGAGCCCTTGACCGGCATGAAGGCATTTGCAGGAAGCTGACCGGCGGACTGATTCCTTAGGCCGTATAGGGTTGAGGGTTTAGGGACCTCCTGCTTGCAATAATGTGGGTACTTCCCAAAATCGGGCACCCCAACCTCAAGTAGAATAGAACGCCTGTAAAGGGACCCCCCAGAAAGGGTCCGTAATTTCGGAATCTCCCATGTGGGTTTTGGTCATGTGCAGGATGGCATAGTTCTGGGCTCCTTACGCCAGCTGTAGCTGTGGATTTCAGAACTTCGCGTGCTGTTCGAAGCAGAACTGGTTCTTCGGCAATCCAAGCCGAGGGCCGTACCACTCCGATTTAGGGTGGGCCATGAAACAGTCCAAGATATTTTGGGCCTCCCTAAACCCTAAACTCCAAACCCGAAAACCCCTACAAACCCTAGTCGGTATTCCAACTTTTCGTGCGAGCCGAGATTCAGCCTGGTAATCCACCATGCGTCATCGTAAAACGCGTAGGCCTGGCACGCAGTTCTTGCTTCAGCCGCTGGGGAAAGCTGTGTGTTGGAACACGCTACATAACAAAATAAGCCCCCTAGCTCCGCCGCCGTTCAGCTAAGAAGCTTGGGGTACCCTCGTGCGGGTGGCCAGTTTCTGGATTTTGTGTTTGGCGCAATTGAAACCCCACAGAACACTCTACCCAAGTCCTGCAAAAACATGGGGAACAAGGAAGTCGGGAAGCAGAGGGCGGCCTACCTCAAAAACCCGCTTTCTTCGACACCGCTATTTCACTATAGACTTCGGGGGGAGAAGGGGAAGAGTTTTGCTCAGAACTGGGGAGGAGGTCCAGCAAGAGTGCATCCCTTAAGGAAAGTGGATGGGGGAGGCGGGAAGGGGGATGAAAACAGGCAATGCGAAGCGGAGAAGACATTGAAAAGTTGGAGAAAGGCGGGATGGGGAGGGCGCAAACCGACTAGAAGAGAGCCTGTCGAAGGATTTGGAAACCATCCCACTACCTCACCTGAATAGCCAAGTCATCGGACATAGCAAAGTCATCGGACAGGCATGCTTTCCTGAAAGTCCAGAAGAAACGCCATTGCGGGGGATGGTTTCCCCCACGCGGGCCGACATCCCTAAACCCTAAACCCTAAACCCATGGTGATTCTCACCCTGATGGCCTTTGTGAGGCTCTTCCCCAGCTCAAAGCTGCCGGCTGGGAAGAACTTGGTCGGCAGGTCCTTGGGGCAAAGCCCAGGGTTTTTGGGGGCATGCAGCGTCGTACTCAGGGTTAGGGTTTCGGGTTTCGGGTTTCGGGTTTCGGGTTTCGGGTTTAAGGTCTTTCTTGCCCCCAAGATGCAAACTTGACGCACTTGGCCATGCCGATCGTGCGGTTTGGGATCGCTTGCCTGGCCGTGTGATCCTTTACCTTTTCTCGGGGCTGAAGGGTTTAGTGAAGGGCCTGAACCGGGAAGGAGGAATTGAAAGGCACACGTTCGGGAAAAACCGCCCCCCCCCGGATGTTCATGTTGCTGCGCCCGGAGGTCCCCCCTATCACTCTTCAGGCGTGACAGGTCTCAGGGTCCGTTGAGAATCTCCAACATTAAAGTCGTAGAGACGCTTTTCGGGCGAACATCTGTCTCGGCAAATGTATGGGGTCCCAGAAGCTGTTTCAAACAGTTTGGAAGCAACAACCGCTCAGCGGCACCTGAGCGTGGGCAGTGACAAGAAAGGCGTCCGCGGGAGGTTCAGCATCACCTCCCAGCAAAGAACGAGAGGCAAGGCAGAGTCATGGCGGTTGAAATTTCTAAACCCTAAACCCGAAACCCTAAACTCTAAACCCTATAAACCCTAAATCCTAAACGGGTAGGCGGCGCAGCTGTGCGTCCGAAGGCCCAGTAGCCTTCGACCCGAATCTTCGTGAATCGCCCAAGCGCGTCCCCTGAAAGCCTCTGTTTGCCCTAAGCCCTCAACCTTGCAAATCCTGCCTTAAACCCTAATTAAGCCCTAAACCCCTAAACCCTAAACCTGCTCTCCTCCAACGATCCCTCGGGTGTGTTGTGCCGCAGCCTCTTTCGCATGGACCGTGTCATACCCGAAAACCAGCTGCACGCCGCTCTCCTGACGCCCGAGCACTCACATCCGAGGATTTTTGGGCGTGTTTTTTTTGGGGGGGGTGTGTACGTGGTGGTGTTTGGGGTTTGGGGTCTGGGGTTTGGGGTTTTGGGTTTGTGGTGCAGGGAATGAGGGTCCAGGGCTTCGGCTGCTTGCTTCGGGGGCTCATGGCCAGGGCTGAGACCTCCCTGAAAAAGCGTCCCCAAACCCACCACAAAAAAAGCCTTAAGTGCCGGACTTCCGACCCTCTCTCTCCAATCTCGTATTTCACGTATTCTCCCGATGTACATTGCCTCAAGCCCTGAAGCCTCATACCTCCCACAGCTTCCACACACACACACACTAAGCTTGACTGAGGAACTGTCCCCATAAGTGTAGTTGCTAAGTACCTTGGGCCAAGCAAGGTTAACCTTTCAAGTATGGTAGGATTCTATAGACCCCAAAAGGTGAAAGGTTACCTCCTCAACTAAGTCAGGGCTCTTTCTCATGGCTGTTAAGGCCTATACTCCGTTAAAAACTGAGCTGTTACCCCTGAATCCGAACCGTTTGAAAGCGCCAATGTCCGTCAGCTCCTGTGGCCGCAGATCCGTGAGGCTCTTGCCCAGGTAGAGCTGGCCCCCTCTTTCGGTTTTTGGGGTTTAGGGTTTAGGGTTTAGGGTTTAGGGTTTAGGGGCACAGAGAGCCCTAAGCCCGAAGCTTCCCAGAAGTCGAAATAACATGTGATTCACCCTGTTTAGAGAGTGGGTTTCGGACTGGTAGTTTGCGGGTGTAGACCTCCTGAGCCCATCTGAGCCCAACGCGACCCTAAGAAAGCCACAACTGCACTGCCCCACCTAAACCCTAAACCCTAAACCCTAAACCCTAAACCCTAAACCCTAAACCCTAAACCCTAAACCCTAAACCCTAAACCCTAAACCCTAAACCCTGTGTCTGGGCCCCGTGCACCTTCCCGATGCCAGCATACCTTTTTCGATGCCAAAGCGAACTTCCCAGCACATACACAATGCGGGATCCCCAAGATGCGTGCTGGCAAGCGCGCACTGATAAGGAGGATCCCCATGGCGAAGCAAACATTTTCTCAATGTTCTTGGTCCCATGGGTCGGTGGTGGGGACGTGGTTGGCGAGCAGAAGATGACTGAGAATATGAAGTGTACGGCATCTCCCAGCACTCAGCGACACACTCTCGAACTTCGTACTAACCATGTGTCTGGGCCCCGTGCACCTTCCCGATGCCAGCATACCTTTTTCGATGCCAAGGCTTGGCACAAGGTCTGAGAAGTGAGCCTGAGAAGATGCTGTGGAAAGAAGGCACCTTTGTCGAAGCGAACTTCCCAGCACATACACAATGCGGGATCCCCAAGATGCGTGCTGGCAAGCGCGCACTGATAAGGAGGATCCCCATGGCGAAGCAAACATTTTCTCAATGTTCTTGGTCCATATCCGACCTCGGAGTATGCTTAAGGCGAAGTAGCAGCTGAAGTGCGTAGTGACTGCAGAGCTCGTGGGGGTAAGGCTGTGCCAGTCTGGTAAGCCAGCGCCCCCTGTTGTCTCGTCCAACTAAATGCACATGTGCTTTGCCAGATCGCTCACAGCAACGGAAGCTGCACCCGCAAGTTCTGAGCGAGAGATTGAAGTTGCCACACAGAAAAGCAGTGGCCTTGCGCCACGGCATGCCATACATGCAGTAGCACGTGTTGACAAAGGTTGCCCCTTGCGTCTGCAACCGCTGCATAGCTGGGACCAGCCAAACACGACTGGTAAGCGGGTTCTCAAGCGACCATGGCAGGCCGAGCTTTTGACAACACGCTATGACCTGAAGACTGAACTCCAGGAGTTGGTTGCCCTCTTGAACCTTCCTTCGCTCCCATGGCATCAAAGACGGCAGACCAAATAGGCCGGCATGATCATCTCGAAGCGCGCGTGGGCCACGACCATCATCGCGACGAGCGCGGCTCCACGTAATGCACGGCATGCCAAGATGAACCGCTGAGAACTCCCCCTTGGCGATGCGATGCAACAGCACAGCTGCAACCTTAGGCGTGAGTACGTTGCATGCTTCACCATAGTCAATGTCCCATGCCTCACATGGGATGCCCAGACTCGCACACGCTTGTGACAAGTGCGCACATCCGGAGAAAAGCTCCAGAAAGGGCTTGCTGACTTTCACCGTTTGAGGCCACATTTGGCGAGGACCATTGCTTGCAGTGTAGCTGGGGCAGCTTGCGCTCGTCGTTTGAGCGCCGGGGCCAACTTCTCGAACTGCTGAGCTACCATTGCATGTTGTTCGTACCGCTTTAAGCTGCTGTCGGCCGCCCAACGCCCTCGATGTTTGACCTCCAACAAACTGCGGTAGTTCTTGAAGCGGTCCCAACTCGCCCCAGAGTGTCTCAACTGGTGAGGCACTGCAAACTTGAACCCCAGTCCTAGTTGTTTGAGAGCACGATGCCATGTGTCGAGCAGCTCCGTGTAGTTCGTGGGAAACAACGCTGCTCCTGATATGGCTGTCATGCACTCGAGCGCTGCTCCGAGCCACGGGATTTCCTTGTTGTCCAGCAGGATGGTCTCGTTGCTTACCTCCACCTTCGACTCCTGGAGGTCGTCCGACGGGTGGAGATTGACAGACCAAACCTGCCCGAGCGACCTGCTTTTCACCAGATCCTGGCGCCGGATCTCGAAGACCTCTCCCGGCCGCACGTAAGTGGCGAACATGAAGAGGATGGCCATGCACGCTACAAACTGGTCCGCCTGAAGGACAGTCAGGGCGATCAGGGCGACCAGTGGCCACGCCAGAGGCGGCCGTGTGACACCTGGGTCGAGGTTCCGCCATCCTTGCATGGACCTTCTTGTTCGCGGGAGCTGTCCTCGACCTGACAAGGCGGGCCAGCGGTCGGTGACTGCAGCCATGCATTTGACACCCTCGCTGATGTCCCATCCTTCCAAGAAAGCTTGGTTCAGAAACAGGTTCAAGGCGTAGTCCACCTCGTCCTCTTTTCGCAGCTTCAACTTCTGGGTTTTGCAAAAGGACTCGAACAGGTTCCACTTGTGGAGGTACTCCTCGCTGGTCCTCGGCGCCACCGCCGCGGTCTCTAGGAAGGTGTGCCCCTCGTTCCGGTTGCGCGGCTTGCCCGCTGCCACCACTGCCTGGCGTTTGGAAGCCCGGGTGGCTTCGTCCGGCCCTTGGAGCGCTTTGCGCAGACTGCGCTTGGTGGGAGCTCCCGCAAGCACCCTGGGCGGGACCGACTTCTTCAACTCGGCGAGCACACCCCCATAAGAGCTCCCGGCCCTGCTCTTTGCTGAAGCAGCTTTTGGACTTGGGGTAGCAGAGGCTTGTGACGGCCTCTTTCGAGCGGCTTTTGGCCGCGGTTTCGGACGGCTTCTCCTGTTCCCACTGGCGCGAGCCGGCATCAGCCGCGTTGTGTTCAGAGGGGATCCATCTGTGAGTGAAGACGCAGTCGCCCGCAATCGCAAAGGCCGTTGCACGCCGACAACAAATTAACAGTGGCACAGCTTTAGCCCTACCCCTGTCAAAAGCAAGAACCATGCCCAAATTGTCACCAAGGTGCAAATGTTTCATGCCATAGTTGCCCTCAACCCTCATCTTGTGTCGAACCGCTTGCACAGTCCCCCGCCCCTCAAGAAGCGTGATGTGTTCTGGCTTGTGCATGCGGCAAGCAAATTGCAATTTCCACTCAGGATGGCACGCGATCTGCACAGGCACATGCTGGAAGTCAAGGTTGAGTTGAAATGGATCTCTCTCTGCTGGGTCAAGTGACATGACAGTCTCATGGTGCACAAATGGGTCCAAACACAGAGCCGCATCCCTGGCCTTGGCCAATGGATCTTTTGACTTGAAACGCCACATTTCTCTGCATACGCCGATCGTTTGAACCTGGCCTGACTCGACGGTCAGAGCAGCTACGGCAGTGCCACTGAGAGAAGCATCGCTAGCCGTAATGGTAGGACACCAAGGCTTACGTAGATCAGCATAGCACGTCAAGATGAGAGCAGCTGCAATCCTACACTCTTCCGCTGCAGTGCGCCATAAACGACACGGTTTATGATAATTGGCGATCTTGAAGTCATACACTGAGCGGAAGATGGAGAGAAGGTCCCGGCGCAACATGAATAAGTGAACACAGTGCCCAACGATACGCTCGATGGCTCTGCCGGTAACTTTAGGGCGCTTGGATAACCAAAGTAACCCAAGCCGGACCTTGTCACGCCTAGCTGCGATAGGATGCACCTCACCCTTTTCACCATCGATGACAAAGCCAAGCGCCTGGACACGCAACGACGCGTCTTCTTCTTCATGCACCCGGAATCCAACGCTACGCAACTGCTCAACCACCTTGTCCTTTGCACTCTGGACTGCAGCTTGGTTTGTGCCACAGACATTGAGGTTATCGGCATAGGGAATGAGCAGAGGAGACCCGGCCTCCAGAGAAGGCGGAGGCCTCCCGTCGACCAGGACCTGATCGGGGCTGCATGCCAATGCCACTGAAGCTTGATGCTGGTGTATTCTCTGTGCAATCCACATGGCCCAACTCCATCCCATCGGGACGACCTTCATCCTAGGGTACCACAACTCTCCCTCACTCTCCGCAATGACGCCCACACCTGCCGGCAGCGCAGATGCTGGGATCGGCGGCAAGGCGAAGTATCGTCGAAGTCCTTGCGGCAAGCCAATGGAATAAAAATAGTCGCGGACATCGCTTTGTGCAACAAAAAGGGATTCCCCTTCAGGTAGTTCAAGTTGTGCAAACGTATACCCTGCTGCGAGCGCGATATCAGGTGGGCGATCGAACTGTTGATTGCTAGCCCTGCAGTCAAGCACTAACCTCAGTTTGCCACTCTTCTTGCTCACAAAGAATGGTGTGATGATGCTAGTGGCGGTCCTGTCAAAATCAATCATCCCCCGCTCGAAGATGTCGGAGATGAACTGGGCATAGGCCTTCGGTGAGGATCTAAGGGTGTCGTCCATGTATGGCTTGATGGGGGAACCATGGCTCACGTCCTCCCCGACAAACATGGTGCTCTCAAATCTCTCCAAAATTTCTCGCCCTTGATCATCTATCAAAGCCGTGGCCTCAAGAGGTTCGGCCCCCGACTCCGGCAATGACACAAGGTCTCTCTGATAAGCTCTCACACTTCCGGTCCCGCCTCCATCCGACACATAGGGAGAAGACGGACAATCAAGCAGAAGCTCACGAATGGCCTCACGCTGGAACACTCTCTCCTGGGAACGGGGTAGGTGAGCAACTCTACGAAGTAAACTCGATTGCGAATGCGCCTGGTTTGGAGTGGGCTTCAAAGTGCAGGGCACGTCGAACCCCGCCATAGCGTTCAAGGCATGGATCACCTCGTTGGTCTTGTCAAGGTTGTCCTTTCGCCTCGCCCTGTGCCTCCTCACACAAGCAGACTCCTTCAAAAACTCATTCCGACTATGTTCGTGCTTGTCGGGCTCAAGAAGCGGCAACGGGAGAAGATCTCGCCACCGATCTTCAGCAGAGCAAGGCGCCATCATCCACAATCAAACCAAAACTGCGCGCAAATTGCACGCGGATTAAAAACCCCACCTCGAGGAAAACAAAGGGGATCACCGAGAGGTAGGAAACAGCGACCCCCTTGGCAGCGCTTACTTTCCGCCACCGCCGCCTCCCCCCGCTTCTTTCGGGTTTCGGCGGCCACCACCACGTCTGTTCTCCTGCTCTTCACGCGCCTTGCGCGCCTCCTTGGCGATCGACGCCTGGTCCCGCAGCTCGCTTGCCACGTAGCGAGCCAAGGTCGGCTCAACCCCATCGCCCTTCCGGTAAGCCCAACCCATGATGACATCAGCTGCACTGTAGTCCGGGTTGGTGGGCGATAGCCGGTGAGCCTCCCGGATCAACTGCCAACGACGCACCAGCAGCTCGCAACCCTTGAGGTTGGGGATGTTGATCTGGTCGACAGTGATGAATGCCTCCAAGACCCTGGTGATCACCTCCATCTCGTACACGGACCTGTCGCCCTTGGCCAACTCATGCGTCCGAACCCAGTGTTCATGATCAGTGACAGGTGTGAGCCCTCGAAGCACCATGGAACGGACCACCTCCAGGGCGGAAGGGGGCCCGTCCAACTGCAACTTGCCTCCTGGCATGTCGTCCTGAGACATCTGGCTGACAACCTCATTGAAGTCGGCCCGTCGTTGCCCTTGCCCATCAAAACGCAAAGGAAGAACCCTCAAGTCCCTGGTCTCCATAGTCCCCACCTGGGACTGCGGCACCTGCTTGAGAGCAACTAGCAGGCCTGCACCGGCGTCGACGATGGCACGATCACCTAAGTTCACGGCTCCAGCGGGTAAGCCCTGTCCAGCCGGAACCACAACTGATCCGACCCGAACGTTGCCTCTGCTTTCAAGGGCAACCCAAACCAGTGGATCAGCAGGAAGGGCAGGTACTGCGGGTGCACCTGGAGCTGGCGCAGGCACAGCTGGGGCTACATTTGGTACTGGCGACAAGCCCAAACCGGCTCGGATGCCTGCAGCATAGAGCCTTGCCTGGTTCATCAAGCGTTGGTAGTCAATCGCTGACATGGCCCCGAAGGCATACACATGCGCTCGATTCAAACCAGCTGGAACTGCCGCCCCAAGCCCTGGACCTCCATAGTGGAAGGCGGTGAAGTCGGGGTTTAAGTTAGACAACTGTTCCTCGTACACATCGTAGTCAGGCGTGATGATCACAAACAGGTCGTTCTGAATGTGCGCTCCAACAAGTCTGGCATGAATGCATGGCGGCACCTCTCCATAGTTCACGAAGCAAATGTCCCCTTCCGAAATCATCACTGAAGAGTCAAAGCCAAAGATCCACCAAGGACTCCGCGCTTCCCTTTGCCTTTTGCGATGGGAGAGCTGTTGCGCTCTCTCTGGCTAGCCACAAGCCACACAGCGAAGAAACAAATCCAGCTGCCTACCAGGAGAATCACAGCAATCCACAGCTTAATGCCAATTGATGATTCTGGTGGGGAGGCACACTCGCAGTGACACACGCAAGGTGCAACTGCTGCCCTCGCCTCAGGCTTGCTCCCCCAGAATTGTGCACCCCAGGAAAGACCCACGAGAAGCGTCGCCCCAAGCAATGGGATGTCCATTCAAACCCTTTCTAACAAGAAACCCTCGAGCAGAAGATGACTGAGAATATGAAGTGTACGGCATCTCCCAGCACTCAGCGACACACTCTCGAACTTCGTACTAACCATAAACCACCCCCAAGCTGCGAAGACCGGCCTGAGGCCAGGATGGTGTTCAACATGCCCTTGATGGCCGTGACGTACCTTCGCGAGATGCTGAACTCGGAACCCTTGGGCAAAAGGAAAGGTTTAAGCTTTCTTAGCAAGCATAGTACCCTATATATATATATATACATATATATATATATGATGTATTCCCAAGTATCCCTAAGTTTTGGGTTGATAGTACGGAACCTTTACAAACATGAAGTAAAGGCGGCCGTAATCAAGATGCCAGACTTTTTGGTATCCTTGTAGCCGCTAGCCCAGCCTTTGTGGGATTAGCCTCCCCGGCAAAGAAAGGTTTGTGTGTGTGTATCACCACGAAGGGCTTGGTCACCAAGGGTGTACAGTCCTGGGTTCAGCAGGGGTTGCGGGCTATTGCAGCCAGATCGTTCAATGTATCCATGCGTGGACCCCACAGCGTTTAAGCAGGGGCGAGAGCTTTTTGGGAAGCCTTCGGTGACAGCTCTGTTTTTCTGTTGTCGTAGCTTACTTTGGAAAGCCACCGGTGCACGGCCCCCCGAGCCAGAAAATTCCCAAGCCCGAAACCCGGAATCCCAAACGCCGAGCCCTAAACCCTAAACACGCCCAATTCCCCCAAACCCTAAACTAAACCATAAACCATATAACACTCAACCCTAAACCCTAAACCCTAAACCCTAAACCCTAAACCCTAAACCCTAAACCCTAAACCCTAAACCCTAAACCCTAAACCCTAAACCCTAAACCACAACCCTCAACCCTAAACCCCTCCAGACGAAGGCGCCCAGCTGGCATGCCATCCGCATCAACGATTCGCCGGAGGGGGGCCGTGTAGTTGAAGTGGAAGGGCTTCGGAAAGTCCTACCACGGGAGACTAGGGTTTAGGGTTTAGGGTTTAAGGTTTAGGGTTTAGGGTTTAGGGGGACTGATTAAAATAGTTCATTAAACAATAGATTCTGCTTTAGGGTTTATTCTTTAGGGTCTGGGTTTTTGGGGGTACTGATTACAATAGTTTGAAGGAAAAGATTTCATTCACTTTCTTTCATAATACTTACAAATATGATAGACATTCATATGACGGCTTGTTCTTGGTTCGGCTTTAGGGGAAAAAAGGGGGCTTACAGGTTTTAGTGTGTCGTGGGGCTTGAGGCCGGGAGCTCCCAAGTCTCTCCGGCGTTTAGAGTTCTAGGCGCTCGACTGAAAAATTAGAGTAGGGTTTTGGAGGCTATGATAGTATGCCTATGTGAGGGACCATAAGGGACTACGATTAGCAATTGTTCCGACCCCAAAATGGGAGTTTACGAAAATACGGGACCCCAGTATATATACCCCAAGTAGTAGGATTCCCTGAGAATAAGGACCCCAAAAAAGGCACTCCTAATTTCGGAAGCCCTAAACCCTAAACCCTTCAAGGCGGCCCGTGCAGACACCCGAGGTCCTCCGACGCAGGAGGGCAGCCGGGTTCGTAGCAGGCTGTAGCCAAGCCCAAGACCTGCTCTTTTGCAAGGTTTGGGGGGGTTTAGGGTTTAGGGTTTAGGGTTTAGGGTTTAGGGCTTAGGGCGAGTGGAGGGGGAGGTTGGGGTTGGGCTGGGACCGGAGATTTTGCTCGTCAGAGGGTTTCGGGAAAGATTCTTCATGAAGACCCAGCTCCTGCTGGCGAAGTGGCGATCTTGAGGCAAACTTAACTTGGAAATATTATTCCCCTGAAGTTCCTACAAAGCCTCCAAGCTTGAAGCTCCAAAACCAGCAAGAACTCCTGAACCTAGTTATCCCCTGAAAAACCCCTAAAACCTACTTGGTTTTTTGAAACACGGGACGCCCTTGCGAACTCTCGCACGCACCCGCGCACATCTTCGTTCGTTCAATTTTTGGATTTTATCGTTTGAGTCGGCTTATTCAGCCCTATTCGGGCTGAAACGCCTCGCAACAGTCTTCTTTTTTGTTTTTTTCTTCTTACATTTCGTCTACGCGAAGTACACTCTCCCTCTCCCTCCCTCTCCCCCCCCCTCTCTCTCTCTCTCCCTCTCTCTCTCTCTGTCCCTCTTCCTCCTTCTGGGACATCGGTGCGCCTTGAGGATCACGTCCCCCGGCAGGTGCATGTCCTGAAGGGGATTTTGAGCGTCAATGTGCGGAGCTCGGGTTTCAACGGCTTCTCGTGTGATAATGCGAGTGCACGCTACTCGCAGCGAAAGCTTCAGCGTCCGCTTTTGAGAGCAAGCAACTTGACACCTATGGGGCTTTTGGGAGTTAGGCTGGGGGCCACAGGAAATACAAGCCCTCTCCACAAACCCTAATCCGCAAATCCTGAACCCTACTCGTAGCTCCTCAGAGCGCGCTCTTGTTTGGAGGAGCCTGAAATTTGAACCCTGGCTCGCCCTCGACCTTCCACTTGAACCTAGACCCTAAACCCTACACACTCAACCGCACTAAACCCTCAACATGAACACCCCCCCCCCCCCCCCCTGCCCCTCTCTCTCTCTCTCAAAACCCTGGCCTTCCTAAACTTCTGCAACCCAGGCGGCCGGGGAGAAACGGTAGGCGCCGACGTCGAGCGTGAAGGCTTCCTCCACGGAGGATCTAAACTGGGTTTAGGGCTGAGGGTTCAGGGTGTAGGGCCCCTCACGTGAAAAAAAAAAACCAGGGCTTAGGGAACAGGTTAGGGCCTCAGGTCCATGGGTTGAGTTCGGGTTGTAGAATTTGCGGCTTTGGGGGGTGGGGGGGGGGATTTAGGGCGTCCCTGATGTGGGAGTCATTTGCCCTGGGCAAGCGACAATCTCAGTGGAAACGGAGGGACATCCATGTGGGGGACTCGCGTGAGGGTTTATATATACCCTGTAGCCGGAAATTCCAAGACTTCAAAACTCTGCACCCCCCCCCCCCCCCCCCAAAAAAAAAATGCAGAAACGCTTTCGAGGTTTTTGGGGTTCCTCGACAGCCGTCTACCCTCCTAGGGTTCGACCCGACACCCGGGTTTAGGGTTTAGGTTAGGTCCCGAATCCCTGCCCTTGAGTTGCCTGCTTCTTGCCTGCCTGCAGCTCGTGGGAATAAGTTCCTTGGATGCCGCAGAGAAACTTGGCCCTAAACCCTAAACCCTAAACCCTAAACCTAAACCCTAAACCCTAACCCTAAACCCTTGGGGAAGGTTTCGGGTTGCTTTGGGCTCTTCACATGGGGGGGGGGGGGGGGCTTCATGTCGCCACCGCTGGCTTCTAAGACTGAAGGGCTGGGAAACCTGCCGTCCCTGTCACGTTTAGGGTTTAGGGTTTAGGGTTTAGGGTTTAGGGTTTAGGGTTTAGGGTTTAGGGTTTAGGGTTTAGGGTTTAGGGCCTCATCATCGTGACTTCAAGGGATGGTCGCTTGTATCTTAGGCCTGATGTCAAACCTCCCAAACGCAGAGAGTCGAGGCTGCTGAGTTGGGGATTTACGATCATCAGGGACCTCGAATATACACCCCTACACCCTAAACCCTAAACCCTGAACCCTAAACCCTAAACCCTAAGCCCTAAACCCTAGCAAACGTTCCCTCACTTGTGAGGTATCCGGCCGTAGGTTCAGCCCAGGGAGCGGCCCCCAATGCGTTGGGACGCCTCGAAGATGCACACCTTTCGAAAGTCTTCGGCCAGCGCTTCAGACATCCAAATCGCTTGGATCCTAAACCCTAAACCCCAAACCCGAAACCCTAAACCCTAAACCCTAAACCCTTGTGGTTCTTCATGATTCTGAGGTTATATGGTTGTAAGACTATATGGCTGTATATGTGACTACATGTGTATGATGGTGTGGTGATATGATTTTGTGATGATCTGATTATAGGAAGCTAAGGCTTCTGATTGAGACATGTTCCAGAAACACCCCGCCGACCCGTGGCTTGCTCGGCATTCTTTTGGGCATTCAATTGTTTTTTCAAACTCGGGAAGTTTCGGGAAAGGGGCGGAGGGCATCAGAAAAACACACTTCTTTGTCCAGGGCCTCCAAGAGGATTTATGGTACGGTGAAAGCCATTGCGCCGCATGGACACACAATTGCGATATCATTTCAATGAGTTTCGGCCCCGGAGCGAGCTCGAGAGCTGGGTCCCTCAAACCCGCCCAGGAGGCTGCCGGGTTGAGGGCTCCCCATGGTTTTGGGTGTTCGCATGCCACTAATGTTTAGGGTTTAGGGTTTCGGGCTTCGAGTTGGTACCCTTATTCCTTTTGCTTTGGGGGTTTGGGATGCGGACTCCTCGTTGAGGGCACCACTCCGGGGTAGCCGAAGGGGGCAGGCGAGGTGTACCCGGACCCTACAGAATTTGAACGGGAGGGGGGGGGGGAGGGGAGGGCCTTGCTGCCCAGAAGGGATCGCCGGAAGGCAGTGTACACCTAAGCAAGCAGGGCTGAGGCTGCAGGGAGTTCGGGGAGTTCAGGGTTGAGGGAGTAGGAAGCACCACACTCCTTCTCCCGCGCTTTCGAGGGCCCTCGACTTGGATCCCCGGCCCCGAGACCTTGAAGTCTAAGACCCTATAAGGCCCTATCAAAATCGTATAAGATCCTAGAATAGGTCCTAGAAGATCCTAGAAGACCCAAAAGCCGTGACCCCTTCTCGAGGCCCAGGAACACCGGCCCAGCCCGCACCGATGGTCGCGACATCGCAGGAGCTGGGAAGGGCAGCCTCACGAGAAGAGAGGGGGCGAGTTCTGCCCTGCCTCAAACTTCGGGTGTAGGTAGGGTTTAGGGTTTTAGGGTTTTTAGGGTTTTGGGGTTTTAGGGTTCTAGGGTTTAGGGTTTTAGGGTTTTAGGGCTTAGGGCTTAGGGCGTAGGACTTAGGGTTTAAGGTTGAGGGCTCCAAAAACCAGGGAAGCACCAAAGGGGCAACAATAGAGCTTCGCTCGGGCTTAGGTTGGGATGTTCCTACCAACAGTCCTTAGTAGGGAATATTATAGCAAAAGGGGGTACAATTTTCATAGGGGGTACTATCATCCCTATGAAGGACTGCTAGTACAAGGGGGAAGGGCTGTTGAAGGTTCAGCTGACACTTGCGGCCCCCTGCATCCATCCCTAAACCCTAAACCCTAAACCCTAAACCCTAAACCCTAAACCCTAAACCCTAAACCCTAAACCCTAAACCCGAAGCTCTCTTCTCGGACACCCCGAACAAACCTTCGCGAGAGGTTCCATTGAGTCGGGCTGCGCTCTGCGCCAGCGCGATGCAGGCGCTCAACAGTGCCACCGTTCGCGCCATGGCTCCCTACGCGAGGCCCCTTCTTGGAGTCCTTGGGGGAAAATCCCTGCGGCCAGGTAAAGCCAGGGCCGGTGATCCTTCTTCGGGCTGGGGATGACGAAGCTTCGGGTTTACGCGCAAGATGAGAAGGGGTGTCTCCTTCTCTTCGTTCATGAGGCTCATCAGGGAACCGACAGCACTTTCACCCCAAAAGCTACCCAAAAAGTCTCCTGGGAGTGGGGAAGTGAAACGACGTTAAAGCATGGCCATGTACGCAAAAAAGAGTTTAGGATTTAGGGCTACGGGGCCATGAAAAAGGACTACGAAACCAGGTGATTTACGACATGATCCTTACGATGAGTTCCTCAACAGCAGCAACCCATGCGCGGGCACGGGGGGGGGGGGGGGGGGCTTCTTTCCCCACCTTTGGAGTAGACCCTGGAAAAAAAGTATATACTTTTTAGGTACAAGTAACTATAATAGGAACCCAGAACCAAAAAAAGTATTAATACAGTACTCCAAAACCCAGTTTCTCTTCGGCTGAGCGGAAGCAACGCCAAGCAATATTTGCTTGAACGAGGGCGGGCCCATGACTGGGGGTCCTAAACTCTGAGCCCTGAAGGGGGGCTTCGTTTCTGAGAGGAGCTCTTGGAAAACATTCAAGGCTCAGTTGGCCTTCAGCCGCAAATCAAGCTTAGGGGTTAGGGTTTAGGGTTTAGGGTTTAGGGTTTAGGGTTTAGGGTTTAGGGTTTAGGGTTTAGGGTTTAGGGTTTAGGGTTCAGGGACCCTCTGAGTCAGGACCCCAACTGCAAGAAACCTCCCTGCGGCCATCGTGGGTTCATTGCCCACAGCGCCCAATACTTGTGATGCTGGTATGTGCCCGCACGTGGAAACCTCACATCCGAAAAGAAACCTGAACCCAAACCCTAAACCCTAAACCTCCATCCCCAACCTCCAGGGCATCAAAGGCACCCTCAGCTCTTCTTCCCGAGGCCTACGCCCTTTCAGCCCCCTGTAGGCCCCTAAACCTTAGTTTTGACAACTTGGCGGGTTCAGGGGTTTGGGGTTTAGGGGTTTTGGGGTTTAGGGGTTAGGGTTTAGGGTTTAGGGTTTAGGGTTTAGGGTTGAGGAGATGAGGCCGAAGCCTTGAACCTAACTCCACCCTTAGGGTTTAGGGTTTAGGGTTTAGGGATTAGGCACAGGCCATACTGCTCAAGCCATTGCAAGCATGAGCTCTTAAGCTCATGTACAGACTCCTCGAAGAGTTCACGCCGTCCTAATTTCTAGGGTTTTGTGGTGGAGGGTTTTGTTTGTCGACTCCAGCCGAGTGCTAAAACCTGTATGCCTCGAAAGCCCTTGCAACTCAATCTTCTTGAACACGACAGCTTGAAGAGGGTAGGGTTTAGGGTTCAGGGTTCAGGGTTCAGGGTTTAGGGTTTAGGGTTTAGGGTCAGTAGGGTTTCGGGTGTAAGGGCTACAGGGTTCAGGACTTGAGCCGGCCAGGGGAGGCCAAAGCCCTCTGACTCGTGGTGCCGCTGCGCAGAAGATCCGCTATCTCGGACACCAGGCAGCTTCGTTCTCCAAGCTGTCACCTTGCAACCCCAAACCCAAAACCCAAAACCCTAAACCCTAAGCCCGATTTAGGGCTGAGGGGTGGCCCTCAACTTCGGGTAAGAAAACGCCCGAAAAGCCTTTCCTGCAAGCTCCCTGTGACTAAGCTGCTGAGTTTAAGAAGCCGCAAGATGAAAAGGCAGGCAGCGCAGCATCACATGTTCAACAGCAGAGCATATTTCTTAACATTATCTGTCATATTGACAAGCGAACTTTGTGAATCTTGCTAGTATTCGTATATGATGGATACTGTGAATATTTTGCTGCAAAAATTGGCCGATTAGCAACCGTTACACAACCACAAGCACTTGCATCGCCTTTGTGTGCGCATGGGAAAAGAGATCGGTTCGCCAACGTCAACCCTCTGAGGCACACTTGTGCCGAAACCCAAAACCCTAAACCCTAAACCCTAAACCCTAAACCCCCCACCCCCCCCCCCCCCCCCCCCATGAAAGGGAAAATTACAGATTCCAGGGTCCCAATGCCCAACTGCAAATCCCGAAAGAAACAAGGTACGAACTACCCAAAACCCCCTTTAAAACCCCCAAACCCTGTACTTCTCCATTCTAGGCCAGCAAAAGCCCCCCTGTTGCCTCTTGCACCATGGGCCCCTGAGACACCAAGCTCCCTGAACCAAGTCCTAAACCCCAAAACCCAAAACCTCAAACCCTGATCCCACAAAACTAAGTCCTAAACCCAGGCCCTGCACCAGTCGGCTGCCGAGAGGCAGTACTGCTTGGTGTTGGCCTCAGAGACATTCCGAACCCTGTGCAACCCCCTCCAAAAGACCCTTCATAAAAAGATCTCGCGCTGTTGGCGCAGTCTACAAGACTTCCCCAAACATATTCCTGAACCGAAGTTCACCGTGACTTTGGGGCGGAACCACTACGTAGAACTCTTCCTGGAGGTTCCTTCAGGCACGGATTGGTAGAGTTCGGGGACGGGGCCTCCCGTCCTCAACCTACGTAAACTCCCCCAGAAATCAGAGCACCCCGAAGTCTTCGCCATGCCACGAAGGTCGCGCTCTCGCCCCTCCGCCACCGCGCCCCCGTCGAATCGGTACAGCCCTCCTGGCAGCTCTCTCGGTTCCGAGTCCTCGAAGCCTGTTTTTGGGTCGTTACTTTGAGAAGCGCCGGGGCAAGGAGCCGTTGAGTACGCTGTCGCAACCGCTACGGTGAAGGCTTATGCAGGCATAGCTCCAGGGAGGTCTTGCTGCTTGGTTCAGGGACCTTCCGGAAACTTCCCACTTCAGCACCCTAACCTAAACTCCCCCTAGAACCTGAATACCACCAAGACAACCAGCCAAACAGCCTGGCTCCTAAGGGGACTGGTCCTAACTTGCACCCTCGCAGTGACATCGCCCGGCTCAAATTCAAACTCAAAGATCCCGGCGTCGCCCCAAGTTGAAGCCCGAAACCCAAAGGCCCTCTACCCTGTATCCGTAGAAACCCTAAACCCTAAACTTAACTCCCTAAACTCCCTAAACCCTACATCCGAAAACACTAAACTCCCTAAACCTTAAACCCTTTATCAACCCTAAATCCCTAAACCCGTAAAAACTCCCTAGATCCCTAACCCCCCTAAAGCCCGAAACTGTGTCCAACCCAACTCCGGGGTGGCAGACCGTGGGGCAGTTGTAGTACCCGCGGTGCTCATCTGGGCAGACGCACCTGGGCTTGAAAACAGGGGGGGGAGGGGGGGGGGGGGTTAGGGTTTAGGGTTTATAGGGTTTAGGGTTTAGGGTTTAGGGTTTGGGGTTTGGGGTTTGGGGTTTGGGGGTTTAGGGCCTCCACCCGATGATGATGAACTCTGCAAGCCCTTGCGCGCCTGAGAAGATCCCACGCCACCTGCTGTAACTCTATGATCATAGAGCCCAGCAAGAATGGACCCTAAACCCTAAACCCTAAACCTTAAACCCTAAACCCTAAACCCTAAACCCTGAACCCTAAACCACGGAACCAGATCAACCTACACGGCCCCTGAGGCCCGAAGACTCTGAACCTGCATGGGCTTGGGCTCCAGTACTTCACTTCAAGCTCCAGACCGTCCTTCAGAGTTGGCCCTAAACCCTAAACCCTAAACCCTAAACCCTAAACCCTAAACCCTAAACCCTAAACCCTAAACCCTAAACCCTAAACCAACAAGACATGGATCTGCCAATTTTCAGAGCAGCAAGATCCGGCTCACATCGCTGCGGGGTGCTCGCGGGCACTCAAACAGCGCAGTGCGCGGCAGCTTCCCACCCTCCCAGCGTGCGCGCGTTCACCATGGTCTGAACCGTATGCGGGGTATTCTTGAGTAGGATGCTCTTCATAGGGTTAGTTTAGGGTTTAGGGTTTCAACCCAAGAAGAGAACATGCTGAATATCCCAACAGCCTACCCCGAACTATGAAGCCATTGAAAGCCCCGCCCTCCTTGACAATGTGATCCAGGGTGTGAGCCGCGCTTGGGCCGCAACAACCAGCCTAGCCTGGATCTGCTAGACTTTGAACTCCACGGTCCCAACTCGGCTGGGATCCGAAGTGCCCATGTGATGCAGAATCCGAAAGAGGTATCCGTTGTAGCTGCGCATCTCCGGCAACTTGTGCTGCCGGGCAAACTTGATCATGGCTTGCAGCACTGCGCTCTTTGTAGAGGCCTCGCTTGTCAACAAGCCTTGCTTGCAAAGCTCCTTGCGCACCTCTGCATCCTTGGGTGCAAGGCGCCAAAGGCCATCTGTGCCATGCGACAAGAAGGCTCGCCTCAGCTTCTCGGAAACGTCAGAGATGGTGTCCTCGAACGAAGGCAAGGCATCACAGTACTTTCGGAGCTTGAGCTTGTTCTCAGGCATGTTCACGAACGTCAGCATCGCCTCAGCTACGTCAGCGTTGAGCTTGTAGTCCAAATACCCCATCATGCTCAACGCCTGCGCCACCATGTCTGGAGAGTCATGGATCACAAAGGGGCCACCACCCTTGAATATCTGTCTGGCCACCATGCCTCCGAACTCATCTATCTTCTTCAGCGTCTTCTTCGAACTGCCAGTCACAGGAAGGAAGTATGCAAGGTTGTCTTTGTAGCGCACCCACGAGGCCTCGGCGCCTGCTTTTCGCACAAGCTGAAACGTTTCCGCACATCCTTGCGGAACCGGGAACACAGTGACCGGACCCAGGCGATGGGTGAACCAAAACTTAGCAACAGACTGCACCAGGTAGCCACGCTCATCGCGATAGTCCAGCGACTGCAAGAACGCAGAGGGCTCTTCGCGGTCATCTTCAGACACCTGCGGAGCTGCCCAAGGGTCTGTCATCTCCACACTTCCTCCTCCGTGTGCATGCAATTGGGCCCTGACCTTGGGCCCGTTCCCACGACCTTGCATCGGCAACACGCGGGCACCAGCCAACTCATATTTTCGCATGCTGGACGTTCTCCCTTGAGGGACAAGCACAACCATCTCTCTGCCCATCCCCACGATTTCCTGCACTACGCCCAGAAAGTCTGTGTCCGTCGTCAACAAAGCAGGGCAGATGCTCCGGGACGTCCGGGCCAGGCAACGCAGCCGCCCTTCAATGGCTACATCACTAGCCTCCCCCTTCCTGCTGCGTGGCACCGCCTGGAACTTCGTACCTATACTCCCCTTAGAACCTTAATAAACAAAATATTTTAAAATATCCTCTTGGGTTTTATATAAACAAACAAATAATTCCCAAGGGGGACATAGGTACCAGGCTTCGAGAGGAGCTCCTGCCATTTCTTGCTCTCAAGTCTCTTCGGCGCTGCAAAGACTCTGGTCTGGACCGTCCAGCCCTCTTGCTGCAACCGTTCGATGGCCTCCTGGGTTTGAAAAATCCCGCGCTGATCTCCATCCACAAGCAGCTCAGCTCGACTCTTCGAACGAGCACGGGTTCTTCGAGCTGCCGTGCGCGAAGAAGGCTGATATTGCCGTCGCATGACCTTGATGTGCGTATACATATATATATATATATATGCATACATATATATATATATGTGTGTATGTGTGTGTGTGTGTGTGAGCTTAGACTCTTTGATGTGTAATGCCCCAAAGCCCGAATTGGGTGGGAGAATCGACGGAGTGAGTGCTGACTGCTTGACATCACAACAAACATAAACCCTAAACCCTAAACCCTAAACCCTAAACCCTAAACCCTAAACCCTAAGCCCTAAACCCTAAACCCTAAACCCTAAACCCTAAACCCTAAACCCTAAACCCTAAACCCTAATGAAGCGCGACCAAGAGGCCAGCCAACATGTGCCCAAAGTCATCGAAAGCCTTCGTAGCCCAGTAACCATGCTTCAGGGCACCCTTTTGGGCCAGTTGCATAATTAAAAAATGGAACCCATAGCCAAACAAAAAAAAAAGGGGTAAAGGGCACCACTGAGCTAGCAAGAAGCTGCTTGCAGCATGAGCCCTGCCAGTGACACAGCAGGCGCCTCGTGGGCCCATGCCTCAAGCCCTGCGTCGCACGCGCAGGCGAGGGCGGCCCCGGGCCGCAGATGCCCGGCATTTTTAGGGTTTAGGGTTTAGGGTTTGGGGTTTAGGGTTTAGGGTGTAGGGGTCTCACAAGCAAGGCTTCCTAAGTTTCTTTGAGCCAGCCCTGAGAACAAAGTCGGGTTGTCTTGCCGAAACACCTGGCAAGTGCAGAGGAAGAGACGAGTCTTGGACCCGAAATTTGGCAAGCACCAGAGAGCCACCGACCCGAGACTAGCCACTGAACCCAAACCTACTTGCTTGCTGATCCACGGTTCTCCGTCGTAGCGCGGAACCTTGCAGACCAGCCAGAACTAGGATTGAATCATGTTTGGGGGTTTGCAGCTTGCAGTCGCTCGACTTCCTTGGTGCATATGCACCAGACCCCGACCCCTGTGAACCCGCTTGTGGAATTCTCTCCCTCACAGCCTGCGGCCTGTGGCCACGAGCCGCGCGCGATATTCGGGGGAGCTCAGGCAATCCCTGAATCGAGCCAGCTTGCCTTCCAGCTTAAAAAACTTAGTTGCTGAGTTCATAAGCCCCAAAAATGTGTACACTTTCAGTTCTGTAGTAGGGGACTATAGCATCCCAACCAGTGCAAAGTGTGCTCACTCAGCTAGTAAGAAAACGCAAGATTCCTGAACTACCGGGTTTCCCAAGTAACGGAAGAAAACAGGTGCTTTGACAAGGGACGAGGAAGGGTACTGTTGGGGCATCCTTACGCATGGCATAACAACATCCCTCAACCCGGAACCCCCCCCCCCCCCCCAAAATTGGCTTTCCTAAGCCCGAACCCTAAACCCTAAACCCTAAACCCTAAACCCTAAACCCTACACCCCAAACCCTAAACCCTAAGCACAAAAAACCGGACTGTGGCAGCTGGGGAGCCGGATGCTCCCGCAAGCAGCAGAAGCCTCCTGGATTTTGCCTGGGCTTCGAGGGCTCCCTCCCTGCCCCCATCAACTACAAGGGTCCTTGAGGGAGGAAGAGGGGGGTGTTGAGGGTGATTAGGGCCTCCGGGTTTGGGAGCTTCAGGATCTTCGGGTTTTAAGTTTTCTTAGGGCTTTAGGGTTTGAGAGTTGGGGTGTTAGGATTTCGGGCTTTAAGAAGCTTAAGGGTCGCAAGCGTTCCGTTTAAGGACTCTACATGCAAAGTTTCAGCACGCCCCGAACACCCCATGCAGGAACACCCCAAGGCCTAAACCGTCCCTGAAGCATCTCTGCACGCCAGCCCAACAGGAAGCAGCCCTAAGCAAAAAAAGCCCGAAGCCCAAAAACCCTGCAACCCTTAAACTCTTTGCCCGAAAACACCATAAGCCCAAAAACCTTCAAGACCCTTAACGCCCTCAAGGCCCTTAAAAACCCTTAACGCCCCGTAAAAACCCCTTAAGGCCCCCTAAGCCCTAAGCCCTAAGCCCTAAACCCTAAACCCTAAACCCTAAACCCTAGACCCTACACCCTAAACCTTAAGCCACGCTTCGCTTGGCCGTTGGGCAACACCGAGTGCGACTCCGAGTTAAAGGACTGGGCGCCGGGGCACCTCGGGGTGATTCCAGGTCAGGGTTTAAAGGGGTTAAAGGGCTTGCGGTTTGGGGCTTTATGGGGTTTAAAGGGCTTAGGGTTTGGGGGCTATTATATGGGGTTTGGGGTGTGGGTTTAGGGTTAAAGGGTTTGCGGTTTGGTGAAAGGGTTTGGGGTGTGGGGGGCTTTTGTGGGGTTTAATTAGGGTTTAGGGTTTTGGGGTTGGTGTAGGTAGGTTTTGGGTTTCAGGGGTTTAAAGGGGTTTAGGGTTTGGGGTTTATATGGGGTTTGGGGTGTGGGTTTAGGGTTTAGGGGTTGGTTTAGGGGTTTTGGGGTTTTTAAGTGGGGCTTGGGGGCCTTCCCAGAGCTTTTTCCGAGAGCAGCCTGGTATTGAAACAAAGGGGGTGCCAGGTACCCCAGTGTTTTTCTTTGTGGGGGGGGGGCTGGGGGGGGGGGGGGGGGCTGACCTTACACCCTTAACCCTAAACCCTAAACCCTAAACCCTAAACCCGAAACCCTAAATGCCAAGCAACCTGACCCTGAAGAAAGAGGCCCCACTGTCGGTTCCTCGTTCTCGGGTCTTTTCTTTGGGGCTCATGCTCAAGGGCGTGCGCAACAAACCCCAACTAAACCCTCAACAACCCTAAACCCTAAGCCCGACGCCCTAAGCCCTAAGCCCTCTGCCCTAATCTACGGTCGTGGCGTCTTAGGAGGCAGAAGTCCTTGTTGGGTCCACCCTCAGCCAGGTTCGAAAAACTGCCCTGCCTCCACTTCGGAGCTCCTTGAAGGCTGTGGCTAAACCCCCAAAACCAAACCCCAAAGGCTGTAGCACCCCTAAACCCTAAACCCCAAACCCTAAACCCTGAACCCTGAACCCCAAACCCTAAACCCCCAAAACCCTAAAGCCCCCTTCAGCCGAGCCGGATACCCTCAAGCGGGGTCGAGGCATCGGGTGCTTTGGAGGCTTTTGGGGAGTTTCGGGCTTCGGACTGGTCGTACTTCGCTCCCAGGCGCCAGGAAGCAACTTCCACGAACTGATGGCAGTAGGCCTGAGCTCAGAAGACCAGAGTGCCATTAGGGTTTAGGGTTTAGGTTTAGGGTCTTCTCTGATTCTGACATCCCAGTCTCATCCCTCATCCCAGGTTGCCAGAGCTACCCACCCCCAAAACAACCAGCCAAGTGGTACTCCACGTTTCCGGGTAGAGGTGGGCTTCATCGCGAGCGATGAAACACTTCCTTGTTTTTGTAGGGTTTAGGGTTTAGGGTTTAGGGTTAGGGTTTAGGGTTTCGGGTTTAGGGCTTAGGGTTTA